AAAATTTTAATGTCTAACATGGTAAATTATATCGATAGATATAACCCTCATAAATAAGGTCTTTGGGTCCTCAATAATTTTTAAATTAGAGGAAAATTCTCGGAGGCAACTTCAGTAGGATGAAATAAACAAGAGTGGATTATAAAACACTACAAGGCAAACCCCAAGGAACCCTAAACAGGCATGCAGGTTTACAAAGCCACGGAGTCATAAAGCTCCTTTCCAAGTTGATGGAGAACGTTGGAAGTTAGTGGAGAAGCTGAAATTCCAGCACAATTCACTACTTGTTTGCTCTGCACGTAGGTAGGGAACGCACACTGCCGGCAGGCACCACTGATAATTGCAGCTACCATTTCTCGATGGCCACGTGCCAGTCATTAAACAAGGTACTTTGAATTACCTGTCTCATTCAGTGCTCACAACACCTAATATAGATGTTATTAAATCCACTTTACAGGGCTTCCCTGGTGGCGCAGTGGTTGAGAGTCCGCCTGCCAATCCAGGGGACGTGGGTTCGTGCCCCATTCCGGGAAGATCCCACAGTAACTTGCCCAAAGTCTAGCTGTTTTAAGTGACAAAACTGGCATCTGAATGTAGGTCTTCGTAGCTCCTGTTCTTCCCACTAAGCCATGCTACCTCTCCTATTTCAAATAGTAAGTCAACCAAAACAAAACAAAACACAAAAAACCCTTAAATTATACATTACTTAACAAGATAGAGACATCTAAGGCCTAAGAGGAGACCTTTAAAAACCTGTTGCAGAATTCGCCGCCCTCCTACTGGGGATAGGCTAGGATGTGGTTGATTTAATTATTTCTGATGGACAAAGAATATTTATTACTGGTGCATGTTTATATTGTAATTATGGTGTTCAGGCAATACATCAACCTCATATAGTTATTTAAATTTGGATGACCTGCTGTTCTCATGAAGACTTCTTTACGGATCAAACTTTGAGTAAAAACCCAATCATATATGCACAGAATATTTCTAGAAGGATATAAAAGACTGGAAACAGTGACTGCTTCTGGGGAGAACTTAGTGACTGAGAGTCAGCGTGACAAGGAAACTTACCTTTTTTTTTTTTTTGGCCATGCTGAGCGGCTTGTGGGATCTTAGTCTTAGTTCCCCAACCATCCCTGACCAAGGATTGAACCCATGCCCCCTGCAATGGAAGTACGAAGTCCTAACCACTGGACCACCAGGGAATCCCCAGGAAACTTACTTTTCACTGTATACCTTTTGTACCTTTTTTTTTTTTTTTAATTTATTTTTGGCTGCACTGGGGCTCTGTTGCTGAGTGCAGGCCTTTTCCAGTTGCAGCGAGCGGGGGCTACTCTTCGTTGCGGTGCGCGAGCATCTCATTGCCGTGGCTTCTCCTGCTGCAGAGCATGGGCTCTAGGCACGTTGGCTTCAGTAGTGGTGGCTTGTGGGCTCTAGCGCGCAGGCTCAGCAGTTGTGGCGCATGGGCCTAGTTGCTCCGCAGCATGTGGGATCTTCCCGGACCAGGGCTCGAACCCGTGTCCCCTGCATTGGCAGGCGGATTCTTAACCACTGTGCCACCAGGGGAGCCCATTTTGTACCTTTTTATGTTGTACTATATACATAAGTATTACTTCTTTAAAAAAAAAAAAAAAAAAAAAACTAATTTAAAAGAACAATGAACAAAGACCCAAGCCATTACCAGATTGGAACTGCTCTAAGTCTGTAGCATCAGCAGAGTATGAAGGACTCTTGGTTAGTACAGTTCTGCCGGGTTCCCAGAAGATTTGGTTACTTATTTGCCTACCCAACTCACATGGAAACCTCTGTAGCTGAACATCTCAACCCAAGTGCACTATGAAAGCAGACATTCAGAATCAGTTATGTGAAGTTTAAAAGTTTGGAGTCTTCCCAAAATAGCACAAGGGGATTCACTCAAGTAAATGGACATCTGCAAATTTGATGAAAAGGTCAGTAGGAAACTGCTTAATTCAAACTCATTCCAGGAAACATGCTAAAACCCCCCAGGCCAAAACCTTGATAAGCAGGCCCACCCAGCTGGCATTCTGCAGTCCCCATTTCCTGCAGCAGCCCAAACACCATATTGCTGCCTTTAAACCCTCCCCCTTTGTTCAAGAACCAGCATTTTATCCAAACTCCCTGGAAAAAAACTTTCCCCTCTGCTCCTTCAGACAAACACACTGCCAATCTCCTCAGAAAGACAATAGCTAACATTTGCTGAGTTCTCTGTGCTTTACACGCAGTATCTCAAGTAGTAAGTCTGACAACTCTGTGAAGTAGGTACTCTTCTCTTCCTTTCTTTCCCTGTCTTTCTTTTTTCTTTCCTCTTTCTCCTTCCTTCCTTCCTTCCTTCTTTCTTCTTAATAAATTTACTTATTTTTGGCTGCGTTGGGCCTTCGTTGCTGCACACCGTCTTTCTTTAGTTGCGGCAAGCGGGGGCTACTCTTCATTGCAGTGCACGGACTTCTCATTGCAGTGGCTTCTCTTGCTGCGGAGCACAGGCTCTAGGCGCGCAGGCTTCAGTAGTTGTGGCACACGGGCTCAGTAGTTGTGGCGCATGGGCTTAGTTGCGCCACAGCATGTGGGATCTTCCCAGACCAGGGCTCAAACCCATGTCCCCTACGTTGGCAGGCAGATTCTTAACCACTGCGCCACCAGTGGAAGTCCCAGAGGTAGGTACTCTTCATCTCCATTTTATAAATGACAAACCTGAGGCCCAGAGAGGTTTGGCCATTTGCCCAGGGTCACACACAGCTAGAAGCTGACTAAGCTGGGATTAGAGCTCTCAGTTGATGTCAAATTCCCACTCTTGATCATGCACTATTATTCACATGGCTGATGATAAAAAGCCTGGTGTGACTTGGGGGAGATTACAGCTCTCAAAGCTCTTATCACTTGTATTGAACAAACTTGCTGAAAAGAAACCAAATATAACTCTTAGGAAATATAATTTAAGTTTCATGGTGAGCGTAACGGCTGGAGCCTAGGGCCCAGACCAGGCATCGGAAGATGTCATCCTACTACAAATATAATCGAGTTTGAAATCTGACTTTTACGCAAATTTGGGGCCCTGAAACATGTGTTGTTCGAGAATGAAGACAAAACCTCAAATCAGAAAAATAAACCACAGCCCTTGCTAGTTGACCTACTTGTTATGCTCCCTAGACATACGGTTCAGTGTGCTAACATAGCCACCATGTTTTGGGCACCTGCTCTATTTTATGTGCTGTGTGTATGTATACATCCTAATCCACAATTTCCCAAATTTACCTAGTCATAAGCATCATACAAGGGCCATGTGAAAAAAACAGATGCACACGAGACCTGAAGAGTTCTCTCTTCAGACGTACTGTATCACAGAATCTCCAGGCAAGAGGTGGAGACTATTTTAGCAACCACCCACGTGACTCCTAAAATCAGGGGTATCTGATGGACTGCTACTTTAATTTTCAGCCTTGAAGATCAGCATTTCCAGCTTCTTACATAGACTAGAGAAACAGAGGGTCACAAAAATGGCTGTCTGAAGACCACAGCAGGACTTGAATCAAGATCCGTCTGGCTACGGAGCCAGTATCATTCCGCCTACTCTTAAATCAATGCCACAGTCAGAGCGTGCATATTGAGTTCTGTGGTTTGTGCTCTTAGCAATCTTTTGTGAAAAATCATTCCTTCTTTGAGTGCAAAGTGAATGTCAGAACTTGAAATAGAAGTTAATTGAACAATAATAGCGATATTAGAATTTATACACTCCCACTATCAAAGTGTGCTCAGAAATAGCCCATTTGATCATGGCATTTTATTTCTGCATTTAACATAAGAAAGGAAGGCAATGAAGGTATTACCATCTATTTACTACTGAGAAAATGGAAGCTCAGAGATGAGCTGTTTGCTCAAAGGCCTTTGACTGTCCAGTGGTAGAGCTGGGATTGGAGCTTGACCACTGGTGACAATGCTTTTCCCACTAAGCACTAATGCTTTTACTGCTACAGACACGTAAATTCTTCTCTGTTCCATATAAGTGTGTAGGCTCTTGTCAGACTCCAGTGAAGCGCTGACTTAAGAGCAGGAGGAACACCAGAGGCAGATGGCTGTGGGAGGTGAATGTCCTCTGATGCACCGAGGCCTGGGTTCAAATCCCAGCTCTATCTCTTAGGCTCTCTGGGATTTGGACAATTAACCTCAACTCATTTTCTTCACCAGTCAAAATGGGAAATAACTGATTCAATCAACATTTATTAAGAAACACCAGAGTGTCAGATAAATCCTGTGTTACTAGCGAGCCATAAAAGGCTGTTTAATGCATTAATCAATAGATTATTTATCCCAGGGGCAAGGGAGGATTTTAGATGTGGCTCTGAAGCTAATCTTAAAGAATGACTAGAAGTTAGACCTGGAGTCTAAAACTCAGATGCCACTGGGGGTAGACAACAGGGTACCCTGGCTCCACACAACCGATGCTGTGCAGGATCAGGGCCTCATGCAGCTAGATGAAGCACAAGATCTGGATTTCTCTGTGATCTCATAAGTTTTAAATGTTGGAAATTAATTTTAAATTATGAAAACAATAGAAGGACAAGCAAAATCTATTTGTAAACCAAGTCTTGCCTGTAGACTGTCAGTTTTCTGAGTTAACCTCGGGAAAGAGGAGGGCATTTCGGTCACATGGAAATAGCACTAGCAAGGTCAAGACTTCGGCAGGGCAGCTGGGTCAGTGAGCTGCATGCCCTTGGGTTTGGTTGGGGTGTGAGGGAGAGGAAGCTGGCCAGAGAGCAGACTGGCAGGCCTGAGTGTGAGTGCTGAGCAGCACTGCCCTCTGTGCGTGCCAGTTCACACCGGACCTACACCGAGTGGGACAACCTCTGCCTCAGGGACCAGAGCCCTGTCCTGTCTGCCCCATCGGCGTGAGGGTCCAGGCAGGAGCAGGGCTGTCTTAACCTCACTGCTGCTATATTTTGCTGCCCTGTAGATTAAGCATGTGAAAGACTGGCAGTGGGGAATTGAAAGTAAGATGGATTTTATCTAAAAGGCAATAAATATGTTTTGGAACAAGAAAACGTGTCCAATTTTTATTCATAAAATTATTAATCGAAACAGCAAAAGTAGATATACAGAGCCACATATCAATAACGAAATAGGAAGGAAATGAAACGTTCCAGAGACACCTGGAAAAGTTTCAAAGGAATACACACCAGGCAAAAGAATCTACAGGTAAACCGTGGTTGCACAAAAGGTTATATTCATTCCTGCATTTTCTCAATAAGTTCTTCCTTATATTTGCCTTTCTCTTTTCCAACTTGTCGAGATTTGGCTTTGCGTTCAAGAATTTTTTTCCGATCTTTGTCCAGTTTTAGCCTGGGGATAACCACCTGTTAGCATGAGAGAACAAACAAATATTGAAATTTTTTTTTTTTTAAGGAGAAAGGACTTATAACCACAATTAATCTTATACAGCAGATCTTCCCTCGACAACAGTAGCTTGGGTTCCTTCTTCTGCTACCCAATGCCCAGCTCCTAACGCTTGAGGCTCTAGAAGACCATTTAGATAATTTAGTGGTACGAAGTGTCATTTAGCTTGTGAAACATTATACTACCCACATGGATGGTTTGTCTATCCATGTCGGCAGTATAATTTGCCCTTGGCTGGCAAAATGCATTGTTTTAAAAATACCTGCATTCCCACCAGCTGCTGGGCAATACAGAGATCATAAAGATGAGTGAGACCCAACCATTCTGCCCTTAAGGATCTGAAACTCTGGAGGAGAGACCCTACAATACAACGTATAAAATGGGAGGTTAAAGGAGGAACAGCATATTCCACCAGGTGGGTGTGAGGGCCGAAGGAAGAGGTGTTCTCTCTTCTCCCTCTGGACACTCTCTAGTGGGAAAGTGATGCCTGGAACACTCTTGTTACCAGATTGCAGACGGGGCCTTCACCAAGGATGACAAAACAGACAGGGAAAGGAACTGGATCCCTCGTGATATCACTAAGCCAGTGAACCAACCAAGCCTTCCTCCCAGGGAAGTCCTTACCATGGCCGCCTGTGCAGAAAGTACCAACAGCCAACAACTCTAGTAGGAATGCTATGCTACACGCCCACTACCACTGCGCAGTCCCAGGCCATACCTTGCTTGGGTGAATGCCCACGTGGACAGTTGTGCCATTAGCCTTCTCACGCTGCACCCGCTCGATGTAGATGACATATTTCTTTCTGTACACCTGGACTACCTTGCCAATTTGCTGACCTTTGTAGTGTCCTCGAACCACCTGAGAGAAAATACAAAAGAGAATTCTCCCCATTTCTAATGCTTGAACATCATAGTGAGGAAACTAATTATCAGCAACACACAGGCTAAAAATAGAACTTTTTGTATTCAGTCAAATTTTGATTAAATCAAAATCAGCTGGGGTTTTTTTTTTGGTATAAATCTGCTTTGTATTATTCTAAGTCAGGTGGAAATTCTTTGCCTGTATTTTTTTCTTCTCTTACCTGAACAAAACATTCCTTGAACTAAGATGGTCATCACATGACTAGTCCTGAGAGTAAAAAAATATAATCGCTGTACATCTAAAACTAATACACATTAGGGACTTCCCTGGTGGTCCAGTGGTTAAGGATCCACCTGCCAGTGCAGGGGACATGGGTTCGATCCCTGGTCCGGGAAGATCCCACATGCCGTGGAGCAACTAAGCCTGTGCACCATAACTACTAAGCCCACATGCCACAACTACTGAACTCCCTGCGCTCTAGGGCCCGTGTGCCACAACTACTGAAGCCCATGCGTCTAGAGCCCATGATCCACAACAAGAGAAGCCACCACAATGAGAAGCCCGTGCACTGCAACGAAGAGTAGCCCCCGCTCGCCGCAACTAGAGAAAGCCCACGCACAGCTATGAAGATCCAGCACAGCCAAAAATAAATATTAAAAATAAATAAACAAAACTAATACGTGTTATACATCAATTATAGCTCAATTTTTTACAAAAAGTAAAATAAAAAGAATATATAATCACTCTCAAGATCTAAACAGAGAATGGTTAAAGAAATTATACTTAGTAACTGAATCACTTTGCTGTACACCAGAAACTAACACAACATTGTAAATCAACTATACTTCAATTAAAAAAAAAATTATATTGAGATTCTCAGGCAACCATCTAAAACCCATGTTTTCAAAAAACAATTTATGACCAAGGAAAATGCTCAAGACATGACCTTTAGAGAAAAAAGAATACAAGGCTATATATATATAGTCTGAATCTTATGTGTATATGCTTCATATATGTATATGGCATGTAACATGAGATGAAGATATATCCAAATGTCAATAATGGTTGCCATTAGGAAGGAAAGAGAATTACTGATGACTATTTTTTAACTTATGTTCTTCTAAATTTCAAGATTTCTACAATTAATACAAATATTTTATAGTCAGAAAAAAAAACGTTAAATTAAAATCTTGTGGGCTATTTTTGCAACTAAAAATCAGCTCATGCTCCAATTCTATTCAAAAACTAACTAGATTATGGTTTCCCTAAAGGCAGGAGCCTATTAAACAGTAGCCATATAAGCACAGAGGAAATACCACATGTAAAGAATTGGCAAATCTCAATACTCCTAAAATGTCTACCTATATTGTTCAGCTTACTCACCAAGGTGATTTTCAGGTTGAAAAGACAACAGCCATGCATGCCTCACTGAAGATCCACCACAGTCTACGTGACCAGAGACCCTCACGTGGAGAAAGTAGGTGAAAAAGCCCCTATTAAGTATCATCCTGATTGAAGAAAGGTGTTAATAAAAGGAGTCAAAGGGACACCCGTGATAAAGAGCAGTGGACAAACGCTAGACCCAGAGAGGAGGGAGACAGGATAAGACTCAGTCGACTGTGGAAAGGTGAGGGAGAAGAGGCGAGGATGACATCCAGAGTCTGGCTGGGCAACTGGATGGATGGATGTGCCTTTCCCGGAGGCATGGAACATGAAAATTCCATACACAGCGGGAAGGCCAACTGGGCTGGTGACAAAGACCTGCGAGTCATCCAAAGAGATGGCAACTCAAAGCTTGATTTTACTTAGGGAGCTGGTGGTACAGGAATGTAGAAATCTAAGAAAAGCCAACATTTTGGAAGAGCTTACGAAAGAGACTGAAGTGGCCAGGAAGAATGGCAAACCAGGAAGTGTGGTGTTAGAGTAGCCAAGACAAGAAGGTCAAATGCCCTAGGATGGTCAACTACTGGAAGGATAAAGTAACAGATGACAACAAGCTGGTCACTGGTGGTCATGGCTACAGTGCTTTCGGTGGAGCAGTGGGATGGAAGCCGTTACGATAAGGCAACGAGTTCACCGGAGGTGAGAAGACGAAGGTGAAAAAAGACTGACCCAAGGAGCTTGGATCTGAAGAGGATGAGAGAGAGGACACATGTTCAGCGTGGATGGGAAGTTAAGGGATAATTTTCTATTTTTAGAGAGGGGGAAACATGAATATGTTTAAATGCTGATGAGAAGGAACAAGTATGGAGGAAGAGGTAAAGGAAACTGCAGAGAAGGGGGATAATGGATAGAAGGATCTCAAGAGGGCAGTAAGAGAGTGGTGGATGTCACATGCAGTGGCAGCAGGATAGCTTACACAGAAACAGGGATTTCTCTTTCACTGTAACAGGAGAGAATGAAGATGGGAGGGGTGCAACTGCAGGTAAGCCAGAGGGTGCGGAGCCGGGAGTTGTGCAAGATCCTGGACAATAGTTCGAATTTCCTCTGTAAAACAGGAGGCATAGTCAACTGCTCAGAGAAAGAGGTAGGTGAGACTTAGAAGATCCCAAGAGAGAAAAGGCAGTTTTAACAAACCTAGCTGGGACGATTTTATTCTCCTGGTCAGAGAAGTGCTTACCCAGTATGGCCTTTGGAGTTAAGAGACCTGGATTCCTGGCTCAGACACTCATTTTCTATATTATTCTTTATTACTTTACCTGAGTTTCATTTTCTTCATATCTAAAAAAGAAACCATTCATAACCCCACAGGCATTAAAAAAACGGCAGCTCCTTCTCCCCTGCCCTCCTTCTCCCTTTTTTTTTTTTTACACATTTAAAAAAAAATTATTTATTTAATTTATTTATCTTTGGCTGTGTTGGGTCTTCGTTGCTGCGCACCATCTTTCTCTAGTTGCGGCGAGCGGGAGCTACTCTTCGTTGCGGTACACGGGCTTCCTATTGTAGTGGCCTCTCTTGTTTCGGAGCACGGGCTCTAGGCGCATGGGCTTCAGTAGTTGTGACATGTGGGCTCAGTAGTTGTGGCTCGCGGGCTCTAGAGCACAGGCTCAGTAGTTGTGGTACATGGGCTTAGTTGCTCCGTGGCATGTGGGATCTTCCCGGACCAGGGCTCGAACCCATGTCCCCTGTGTTGGCAGGTGGATTCTTAACCACTGTACCACCTGGGAAGCTCCTGCCCTCCTTTTCTTTATCTCATCTTCCAATTCCAACCCGTCAACAGTTTTCATCCATTCAATAAATATTGATTGTGCCCCTGTTGTGTGCCAGGCTCTGCACTGAGGTCAGGTAACAAAAAAGAAGAGTTCTCTGGCCTCACGGAGCTTAGTCTGATGGGTAGTAGGCAGCTGAGAGGTAAACATGCAAATATATAATCCTAACTGGGACAGGGCACATGGGAAGATACTGAGATGATAAAAAATGGTCTACATCATATTAGGGTGACGCTACATCGTTTTACATCTGCCAAAACTCACCTGTGCATTTCACTGTATGTAAATTATGCCTCAGTTTTTTTAAAAAAAAAGATCTCAAATTGTGTTCATTGCTATGAAAAAAGAATAAAGGATGCTATACTGAAATACTGAGTAAAGTATCTGGGAAGGCTTTTCTGAGGAACTGACATTAATATAAGACCTGCAAAAGGAGGAGTTAGCCAGGTAAAGGGGAGAAGAGCACTCCAGGCAGAGGGAGCATTCTGGACAAAGACGCAGAGGGAGAAAAGATTTAGGTGCATTTAAGGACCTGAAAAGACCAATGTGTTTGAAGTACAGAGCATGTGGGGGATAATAAGATGCGATGAGGTCAGAGAATTAGACCTGGACTGGCTCACGCAGGGCCTTGGCAGAGATTTAGATTTTACAGTCAGCACATCAAGCACCACTGATAGGTTTTAAGCAGGATCTGATTTGCAAACAATGCCACTCTGTGGAGAGTGGACTACAGTAACAGTGGAAGCGACAGATGCTTTGGAATAAAATGGAAATATAAAGAAGTGGTCAGATTCAAGAGGTATTTTGGAGGTAAAATCAACAAGACTTAGTGATAGATTAGAAGAGAGGGGTTAGGGAAAGTTAATAATAATTTAAAGGTTTATGATATACCTAAGTGGGGAGATAGAAGTGTCACTTACTGAGGTGTGAAAGATGGGACGAGAATCAGATTTTAGAGGCAGTGGGAATATCAGGATCTCATGCATAAGAAGCTTGAGATGTCTGTGAGATATCCAAATACAGATGTTCAGCAGGCAGTTAGATCTACAGCTCTGTGGTCAGAAAAGTAGTTTGGACTGGGATGTAAAAGAGGAAGGTGTTAGCACAGAGCAGACATTTAAAACTTTAGGAATAAATATTACCACCTAGGTAGACCATGTAGGCCAGCCAATGGAAGACCAGGTGCAGGCCCTGTGACAAACTCCAGCATTTAGGGACCAGGCAGAGGAGAAATAGCCAGCAAAGGAGTGTGGGAAGCTGCAAGTAAATTGTGAGCCTGAAGTGTCACAGAAGCTAAAAAGAGAAGCTATTTCAAGAAGTAAGGTGGTGCAACCTATGCCAAATGCTGCTGAAAAAGTCAAGGACAGGGCTTCCCTGGTGGTTAAGAATCCGCCTGCCAATGCAGGGGACACGGGTTCGAGCCCTGGTCCGGGAAGATCCCACATGCCGCAGAGCAACTAAGGCCGTGCGCCACAACTGCTGAGCCTGCACTCTAGGGCCCGTGAGCCACAACTACTGAGCTCGCGTGCTACAACTACTGAAGCCCACGCACCGAGAGCCTGTGCTCCGCAACAAGAGAAGCCACGGCAATGAGAAGCCCGTGCACCACAATGAAGAGTAGCCCCCGCTCGCCGCAACTAGAGAAAGCCCACGCACAGCAACAAAGACTCAACGCAGCCAGAAAAAAAACAAAAACAAAAGTCAACGACAGTGAGACCAAGATGTGACCACTGAATTTAGTCATAAAGAGGTTGGTGGGGACTTCCCTGGTGGCACAGTGGTTAAGAATCTGCCTGCCAATTCAGGGGACACGGGTTCAAGCCCTGGTCCGGAAAGATCCCACATGCTGTGGAACTAAGCCCATGCTCCACAACTACTGAGCCTGCACTCTACACCCCGCGAGCCGCAACTAGTGAGCCCATGTGCCACAACTACTGAAGCCCACGCGCCTAGAGCCCGTGCCCCACAACAAGAGAAGCCCACGCACCGCAAGAAAGAGAAAGCCCCACGCAGCAACAAAGACCCAATGCAGCCATGAGTAAATACATACATACATAAATACATAAATAAGTAAATAAGAGGTTATTGGTGATCTCAGCCAAAAGCTGTTTCTATAAAGTAAAGAATCCAGATTTTCCAGGTCTCTTGCAAAACTGAAGAATCTGACAACAACTGAACGTAACTGAAGAGTCTTCATTTCCCTAGCGCAGCAATGGGCTGAGGGTATATGACTATCTCCCTTAAAAGAGCCCACTTCCTTTAATTTGCCTAACTAGACCCTAGAGGCATTTGCAATCCCCCCCATTCTAGAACACGCCTGATGGGAAGGATCCAGGAGAGAAGAGGTTGAACCATACTTCTGAATTATTTTTTTCTATGCTATTCCTGTCACAATCTCAGCCTAACTTATCCCCTGCTTCCAGTCTTTTCCTCCTCAAAGCTTCAGAGTCCCAGTGCCTTAGGTGATCCACCAAATCCCTTACTTCATTCTCTAAAACAATGGTTCTCAACTGGGGGAGGGTGGCAGGGGTGCATTTTGCTCCCCAGAGACACTGGGCAATACCTGGAAATATTTCTGCTTGTCATAACTATGAGGAGGTGCTACTGGCATCTAGTGGGGAGAGACCAGGGATGCTGCTAAACATCCTACAGTGCACAGGAGAGCTCAGCACAACGAAGAATTATCCAGCCCAAGAAGTCAATAGTGCTGAGGTTTTAAGAGGGGCCTGTAGATCTTGTGCACTGTTAGTGTTCTAGGGAACGCTGCCTGGTAAGTGCTCAATAAATATTCCCTCAAGGAATGAGCATAGCCCCTGTCTGTTGTGCTCACCCTCACTTCCCCTCTCTACCACACATCTTAATTCTATGCTCCAGTCACAGAGAACAGAGGGCTTATACTTCCTCACATGGGCCGGACTCTCACAATTTCAGGCCTCTGACTTGCTGCTGCTTCTCCATTCTCCCTGCCAAGTCCAGCACCATCAAGTGCCCAGCTTCCACTAAACTCAATGATAACAAGACCTTACTCTCATTGCAAAACATTCCCCTGCAAAGTCTGGTTCAAACAGCCACCCTGGGTAACGCCTGGCAAACTAGCAGCCTCCGCAGACAAAATAAGAAAACAAGAGTTTTGCTTGGTTGGGACAGTATATTTCTCAAATTATTATTATTAAAGAATTGAGTTGGAATGCTCTAAATTAGGCTGGACGGGCGCTCTCTGGTGACTCTGGGCCCCATCTCCGGTCTAACACATCTGCAGGGTCACTTTACCTGCCAGTCCTCCACGTCCAAGCACACTCGACGTTCTCAGGCAAAGGCGGCGCCCGAGCGCCACGCAGCTGGGTAACTAGAGCCCGGAGGACACATACCTGGACCTCGTCGTCCTTGCGGATGGGCATGGAGCGAACGTTGTATTTCTGCCGCAGCTCCTTGGAGAGTGGAGACGACATGATCTTCCTGCGCACGTGGGAGGGGGCATTGAAGTGACGTTTGCGGTTTTTGCTGCGGTCCGAGGTCACGAAGGGGTTGAACTTCATGGTGACGGTCTGCAAAGAAAGGCAAGGGAGAGAGCGAAGGGACGCTCAATGGGGTACCGGGGCATTCTCTGCATCCGGGACACTTCTCCCATCCCTGCGCAAGGGCTCTAGGGAGGTGGCCTCGGAAGAAGGCGACTGAAGGAAAACGAAGGATGTGAGGGGTCTCGGTGTTACACAAAGCAAAGCGTGCGTGGGGAGCACATGCTTGACTAAACGGAGCTGGGCCGAAGGTGGCACTGGGACCTTGAGGCTAACTGAGGGAGGAGGGCTCGGACTGCACGGTTGGGGGTCACGCAGAGACACCTCCAGGGAGGCAGGCGGCCCCTGCACTCACCTACCTGGCGACCACAGGTTTCAGACCCTGGGCGCGCAAGGCCGGAAGTGAGGCTTCCTTGCCGCGCAAGCGCAGAAAGAAAGCAATGCTCCATTCCTATCGGAACGAAACTGAATAGCGCCCCCTCCGGCATGGGGTGGGATCGCAGTGCCTCGTTTTCGGGGGCCACGGGAGCGCTAGGCGGCTCCGGGAGTCATGCCTGGAACCCGGTGACTTCGTGCCGCTGGGGAGAAGGGGCACTTTTGTAGGGCCTGCAATAAAGGCTTGTTGATGTTCTTTTAATAGGTACATTATCAGTAGTCTCTCTCCTACCCCGAACTCTTTGCCCCTGTTACCCTCCGCAGAGGTCGTCTAGGCGTATGGTAGGGGTGATTTAACATCATGATTTAACATTGCTGTAAATGCAATCGGCTAACTTGCTTCTTCAAAATCACCGAGGAGCCTGTTCAAAATGCAGATTTTTGTGTTCCACCACAGCCCTGAAAAATCAGACAGCGTTAGGTCGGGATCTGGGTCTCTGAATTTAGAGCAAGCACTTCCCCTCACCAAAGATTTTGAGGCGCACGCAAGTTTGAGCGTCATTACAAACCAACCACTTGACTTTGCAAAACTTCACCCCAGGGCTTCCCTGGTGGCGCAGTGGTTGAGAGTCCGCCTGCCGATGTAGGGGACACGGGTTCGTACCCCGGTCCAGGAAGATCCCACATGACGCAGAGCGGCTGGGCCCGTGAGCCATGGCCGCTGAGCCTGCGCGTCCGGAGCCTGTGCTCCGCAACGGGAGAGGCCACAACAGTGAGAGGCCCGCGTACAAAACAAACAAATTTCACCCCAGTCTTCTAGCCCTTTTTAGAAGAGCTGGAGTTGCAGTGAGACCTGAACCCAAGTGCCTCTTCACGTTGCTGGACCTTGGCTCCTTATCTGTGAAATGGGGATGATCTTAAGTAGATGACTCATAGAGTTGTTACGAGGACTAAATGAGTTAATCCGTTTCTTGTGTTTAGAACAGTGTCTGGCGCATAGCGCTCAATTACAGCCACCTATTATTCCTAAAGAGAGCGGAGGCCTTGCTCCAGGACAGCCCTAAGGACAGGCCTCACCAGAGTCAGACTATTGCCATTAACTCCCAATGACGCAAACTGTAAGCTTTCCGTGTTTGATGTAAACACGTGCAATGCGCCATGCTAACTGAAGCTGTGCTCTCTCTCCCCTTTTAACTCCGTTGAGAGTCTTCTTTAAAAGCCGGCTAGGGCAGCCGGGATTCTGCAGACCAGCGCGCCTGCGGGTTTGTAGCTATTGCCCCGCCCCACTCGTTCCGGCCCCGCCCACCCCGCCCTGCCCACCTTGTCCCCGCCTCGCCCCGCCTGGTGGTGCCCGAGCTCCGCCTCCCGTCTGGGGTAGGCAACCCAGTGTCGCCGGCACCACCCCTCTCGTCAGACTGAGAGTCCCTCTGCGCGGCCTCTGGGAATGAGAGGCCTCCAATCCCGGCTCCGCTGTGCGGGAGACTCTCAGTGATTGGTTGAATGGATTCATTGAATGGATTGACTCATTCAATTCATATGTGTTGAGCGCCTACTTTGTACCAGACGCCAGAAAGAGAGATAGCAGAGATGGGACTTCTCTGGCGGTCCAGTGGTTAAGACACCGTGCTTCCACTGCAGGGGGCACGAGTTCGATGACCCCTGGTGGGGGAACTAAGTTCCCGCATGCCCGCGGTGGAGCCAAAAAAAAAAGAAAGACTTGCCCGACTCAGGCAGGTCCCCTGTTCTCTCCCAGTTTACGGGTGTTCCCTAACATATGGTGATGAAATTATGAAATACCAGCATTTACTCATACTCATGATCAACAATGGCATCTGGCTTGATCTCTAGACTTGCTGGGTGCTGTTTAAGGTTTAATTCCAGATCCCCTGAGGTCAGTGTTGGAGCCCTCTGGCCTTCAGACTCAGGGAGGATGGCTACACCTGGGCTGTCTGCAGAAGCCAGGGTAGCAGCAGTAAGTGGGGTGAAATTTGTTGAGGCAATAGCAACTGAAAGACCACCCATTATAGGCTCCAAGAGTAAGGACGTGGGGGGAACAGTCATAAGAAAGGAAGATCTTAAATGTCCTCACCACACACACACACACAAAAGAAATGGTAATTATGTGAGGTGCTGGAAGTGATAACTAATGCTGTGGTAATCATGAGGCGGTATGTAAGTGTATCAAATCAACACGTTGCACACCTTAAACTTACAGAATATTATAGGTCAGTTATATCTCAATGAATCTGGGGGGGGGGAGAAAGGAAGTCACTTCTCATGGGCATGGCAGGGGCAGACGCCATTATGACCGAGTGCACATAGATGGTCATAGAGGGCTTCTCAGAGCAGCCCTCACAGTGTTCATCAGACCAAAGCCCCCTGATGAATTCATTCATTCATGCAGTCATTCATTCACTTGCTCACTGGCTCCTTCTCTGCTCATTCATTACTTCCCTATCACATTCATTAAGTCATTTACCCACACATTCATCCATTTGCTCATTAATTTATTCACCATTTATTTGGTACCTACGTGGAGCCACAGGTACAGGGCTAGATCAAAGAGATCTGGGGAGGAGTGAAGTCCCGTCCCTGCTCCCAAGGAGCACAGGGCCTCACCGGTGAGGGGCAGCCATGTGAGGGTAGATCATTACAACCCAAGATTATCAAGATTGTTCACTCTCAACCAGGGCAGTAAGGCTTTTCTTTACCCCTACCCTCTGCCCCCTGTGGCTCAACAGAATTAAGACAGCTACAAGGACATCGCCAGATAAGATGGTGAGAGAACCTCAGCCAGGGTTTCTGTCATTCTAATAAGGATTTAGTAGAATTGGCTACTATCCTGCTTCATGCCTACCTTGGAAACATGCACAGGGACTGGCGTAGAAGCCCCAGGGCCTAGCACAGTGCCGGGCTCAGAGGATAGGCCAGGAAAATATTTTTATGTCTCCAAGGCAGAGGGTGATGTGGTGGGAAAGTGTGAGAGCCCTGGATTCTGGCTGCCTGGGTTTGGATATCCACCACTTCCCGGCTCTGGAGCTTTTGGATAAGATATTTAGCCTCTTGGTCACTCACTTTCCTCATCTGTGAAATGGGAATAATGAGAGTACCCACCTCATCAGTTTGGTGTCAGGATTCAATGAAACCTCAGCACAACGTCTGGCACAAAGTAAGCACTTAATACATGGTAGAAAGTATTTCTTTAAAAAAGAAAAAGTTTATTTATTTAAGCCACACTGCGCGGCTTGTGGGATCTCAGTTCCCTGACTAGGGATTGAACCCCGGGCCCTCGGCAAGGAAAGCACGGTGTCTTAACCGCTGGATCACCAGGGAATTCCCAGAAATTATTATTTCTTAAATGAGTGAATAATAATGGCTAGTTATATTAGGCTGAGCATTTTACTGTCACACATTGTGCTAACAGCTTTATGAACGTTACCTTATTTATTCTGCTAAACAACCCTTTAAATTGTCCCTGTTACAGGTGAGAAAAGAGATTCTGAATGAGATGGGAGCAGAGGCTGAATGTGACCCACCATGAGATATTCAATATGATTATTGTTATCTGGTAGCCAATAAGATAATGAGGCGATCCACTGTTATTAACATTGGAAGGCGTCCATTATGTGAGGAAAAAAGTAAACTACAAAATAATGTTAACAGCATGATCCGATTTTGTTTATGGAAAAATATCACTAAAACATTAACAACGATGATCCCTGATTAGTGGGATTATGGGTAACTTTAATTTTCCTTTTTAATTTTTCCCTTTTTGCTCTTGTCTGCCTTTCCTTCAGTGGAGCTATAAGCATGTATTATTTGTGTAATTAAAATCATATTGTAAGGGTTTTAAATTTTGGCTGAAGGAGATCCCCAATGTTCAACTTGGCTTTCTTTTGTAGGCTGTTTTGAATTTACTTTTTATTTTTAAATTTTATTTATTTATTTTTTTGCTGCGTTGGATCTTCGTTGCTGTGCGTGGGCTTTCTCTAGTTGCGGCGAGCGGGGGCTACTCTTCATTGCGGTGCACGGGCTTCTCATTGCAGTGGCTTCTCTTGTTGCGGAGCATGGGTTCTAGGCACGTGGGCTTCAGCAGTTGCGGCGCATGAGCTCAGCAGTTGTGGCTCGCAGGCTCAGTAGTTGTGGCGCATGGGCTTAGTTGCTCCGAGGCATGTGGGATCTTCCCGGACCAGGGATCGAACCCCTGTCCCCTGCATTGGCAGGCAGATTCTTAACCACTGCGCCACCAGGGAAGTCCTGCAGGCTGTTTAAAAGGAAGAAAACAGAAAACGACAGTACCCTCACTACTTTCAATTCCCACCCACCCCCCTTTTTTGGGGGGGGTAGGGGGGTCGGTTTAGCCTTTTGACAGAGATGACTGTGGCGAGTAAGCCGGAACCATACAATTCTCCATAACCCTGGAGTCAGGCGGACGTGGGTTTGAATTCCAGCTTCACCGCGTGCTAGCTCTGTGACTAAGTTACTTAAATCTCTGTTTCCTTCTTCCTAAAAACGAGGTAACAGCCACCTTGTAGGATTGCTGTGAGGATTAAAAAAGACAAGACCTGAACAAGCACTCCTTGCCTGGCACGTGGAGAATGCCTAACTCTCGGTAGCTATTACTACCAGAGTTGAGATAAAAATAAGTTATTTTGGTCAGAATAAAGTGCATGACCTCATCACCACAAAACTGACAGAAGACAACTGCTGGGGGGCAGGGGAGGGTCGGGTCTTGGGTGAATGTTCTCCACACAGGTCCCCTCACATTTCTGGACTGCGACATCTATCTGCTGGAGCAGCTAAGGAAGCAGCTTCTTAAAAAGGGATCAGGACCGCCAGTGCCCTGGCACATTGAGAAAACGTGTACCTTTGTTTCGGGCAAGAACAAAATACAAATTTCTGACTTTTAGTTATAAAAACTATACAGCTGCCACTCATGAGCCGCACTGCCACACCCCACTTCTTCCCAAGGTTCACAGCCCCACCTCGACCCCAAGCAGTGTGAGCTCAGCACGTGAGGGTCGCTCCTCACCGAAGCACCTCTCCAACTTCACCT